AAGGTTTACTTGCTTCAAATTTGTGTCTTGTGTGGTGGACTCGCATACTGACCGCGGCAGCTGAGCTAAGCAGCAGAGAGTCAAAACGCGTTGACAGCAAAGCACATTAATTTAGTTTGACTTTTTAAAGCATTATACAAAATTGTTGGGGTCTTGGAGTAAATATTCNTCTTGACAAAAAATGTGTTTGGAGCCCTCCTTTTGTAGGCGCAACTACCGGAAGGAATTCAAGATGTTCTATTTGATAACATATTGAATTGCGTATGTTGGCTCCATTGAGTAGCAGAGGAAAGTTCGGCATCAGCGCGTTATGAGTAACTTTTGACCAAAATTGAGATAATTTATGATCAAAACTGTGTAATTTGTATAGCTATTTAACTAAAATTTGAGTAAGAATTTAGTTAAGAGTTATCTAAGTTTATTATTTTGTCCATATTAAAATATCGCGTGACAAATTTATGATAAAAAAATTGTTAGTAATTTAGATACTGTCTTTTTGAGGGACTATATAAAAATATATTTAATACTTCAGGGATTAAAATAATATAATTAAAATATTAATGATTAAAATAAGATAAATCTCATACTTTGAAGACCTCCCCTGTACAATTAACCCAAGTAAAAATAGATTCAATAGTTGCAAGACTCAAATATAAATAATTCTATTTGGTTTTATGATAGATGTGATCTAATATCGATAGAAATGAAGAAAAACATATTTGAGAGGAATATATATATACAAGAGATCTGATCTCCATTAATTTTTTTTTTGATCAGTAGGACCCACAATTACATCACACTTATAAGTGCGAGGGCAGTGGAATCTCCATTAAATTACAGGGGTTTTTTTAATTCTTCTAGATCATGATTATAAATATCATAACTTTGTCATCCTAATTTGGTTACAAGTTCAATTTTGACTCTTTATTTTCCGTGTCAGAGAAGTCCATATGTTTTTTTTTTTTTTTTTGTTCAACCTTATTGTAATTTTTTTTTTGAAAAAATTATATCTAGACCCCTTAAAGTTTGTTACTTAATCATCTAGATCCTTTAATATTTAAAATATTATACACAAACCCCCTAAAATTTATACGTGCATAACACATAAACTCTTTCCGCTAATGTCCGCTAATATATATGTTAATAAATTACATCCAAATTCCTAAAATTTGAAGTGTGTAATACTTAGACCCTACAAATTTAAAATATTACACTTAGATAAAAATACTTCAATTAAAGATAGAATATCAAATATTTTAAATTTTATTATCAAAATTTATGTTCTATTATGCCATTTTATTGAAATAAAATCAAAAATAAAAATTCAATTTTTTTCTTAAAAAAAACATAATTAGTTTTGTTGATGTCAAAATGGGCTTCAATCACTTGAAAAAGAAGTTAGAGACTAGAAGAGAGTTCCGGGGATCGACTCTCCGATGTCTAAGTTAATAAGTGAGTCAAATATATGAACTACGATTAGAAGTTAGGAGTGAAATACCTGGAGCATCAATGAAACTCTATTTATCGGAGTTTCAAACAGTTTGAATCGCGTTGGGATAATGATTGAAAGATTTAGTTAATCATATAAAGATAAGAATTATGTAATTATCTTTATACGATGATTTGATGTAATATGTGCAATTAAATTTAATTTATCCATAATATTTAAAATTTTATTCAAATTATAACTCTTGACAGGATGAGTTGGACTTTGACTTTTCACCTTGGGTCAATTTTTTCATAATCAAGTACAAACATACCAAATAAGATTAATAAACCTATTTTCATGTTCCATTATATCATCTATTGACATAAAAAGCTAAACAAAATCTCAATTTTTTGAGGAAAAAAAATATATATATATATATATTGTCATCTGACAAAAATCTGTTTACTAGCAATGTTTTATACGTCTTTTTTTTAAACATACTTTTTTTATTTGCAATCGACACGTACTAGGAATTTCTGATTTAGTATATCATCCTGGAATTTTGAGATACACAAGACAATAGCTAAAATTTCTTTTTTAATAGTTCTATAATTTGCTTGTGCCTTATTCCAGATACCAGAGTGAAAACGAACAATTTGCTCTGGGGATTTTGGAGTAAGTTTCTGGAGTACGATATTACCATAGCCAATGTCAGAGACATCACTTTGGATGATTTTAAAGGAATCAACCGAAGGAATACCAAGACAAGACAAAGTTTTAATGAACTGTTTGACATGTTGGACAATAGATGTATGAACAGATGTCCAAAGAAAAGGATTTCCTTTGAGTCTGTCATACAGAGGTTTAACGGTTTTCCTAAGATCCTGATAGAAGTCAGAAACATAGTTTAGGGAACCTAAAAATATTTGTAACTGAGTTTTGTCTGTAATCTCATCAAAGAACTTATCTGCAAATTGGATAGAACGACTGATGGGAACAATGATTGACTGTTGAATGTTGTAACCGTGAAACTTTACTGAGATTTGGAATAACTTAATTTTACTAGCAGAGATGACTAGACCATTATGTTTGACAATTTCTAGGAATGCATAGAGGTGTTTCCAGTGTTCTTCTATAGATCTGGAGAAGATGAGAACATCATCTATATAAACTATAAAAAAATGAATAATGCAATTAAAAATTTCATTCATAATATTTTGAAATTCACTAGATGCATTTTTTAATCCAAAAGACATTACATTCCATTTGTAATGACCAAAAGGAGTTGTGAATGTAGTTTTATATCTGTCTTCTGGGGATATCATGATCTACCAGAAGCCACTTTTCATATCAAATTTTGAAAATATTGCTGCATTACTAAATCTTTTGATTAAATTCTATTTGTTTGGAATTGGGTATTTGATCTATTTCAATACAGAATTTAAAGCATTATAATTAATTATTAGTCTTGGTGTGCCTCTTTCTAATTCTGCATTTTTTGATGATATGGAAAGTTGGGCATGACTAAGGAAATTTACTTTTCCTAATGAGATCATTTTTGAGTAATTCAGAAATCTCTTTCTTGCAGATTTTCATTATTTCATGGTTCATTTGGATAGATCTGGATTTAGTAGGAATATCTTTTTCATTAAAGTCTTTTATGTATGGAAGTCTTACCATATATTTTTTCCTATTCCAAAAAGCTGTAGGAAGGTTAAAACATACTTCTACTTCCAATTTTTCTTTAAACTGATTAATTCTTTCAATTAAGATTGAATCAGTTAATTATTCTTGGATTCTCTTGTGATTAATTTTTTTCTTTGAGAAATTTCACTTGTTTAATTTTTTAGTTAATCAAATTAAGATACTTAGAGATTGAATGATCTTTAAGTTGTCTTAATTTATTAATTTCTGGTTTAGTGACAAATTTAAAAGTTATTGGTTGACCAAGTGGTTTGGTTGTTAGTTCATTTGTATCAGTTGTAAAAAGGTACAACAAATATACAAAAGGTAAGTCAAGAATCACTTCGTCAGTCATGTCTTTTACTAAGATAAATGATGTTTTAAAATATACATTATCTTGACAGATATGAACATTAGGTAACTTGTACTTAACATTCATTTTACTACCATTTACTAAACTAAGTTTTTCAATGATTTTTTGATAATACTTAGTTAGGATAATGCCTTCCTAGATGTAGTTTACATCTGCACCAGTATCAATTAAGGCAATAGTTTCTAATTCAAAATCATCATCTATGATAATTTTTACTTTAGAATGTCATTTTTGAAAACTAATTTTATTAACTAAGTTGATCTTATGTTGATCATCAGCTGGGAACATCCATCGTGAGATGACAGATTCGTTACACCCAAAGGATTCACTAAAGAGTTGGAGGTTATGGGTATCCCCTGGAAAGCTGTTCTATCCTGAGATTCTGTCTTAGATTGTTCATTAACTAGCGGTTGTGTTCCAGGATCAAAATCTTTTGTGTCACCAAAATTATTTGTCGTTAAAAGACTTAAAGCTTCTGCAAGTTTTTTGTCTTGAGCCTTTAGTTCTTTTATGTAAGATTTTAATTTATTAACTTCACTTTAGAGATCTTATAAGGTGATATCTTTCTTTTTCTCCTTACTAAATCTTTCCATTGTGGTGTTAATACTGATTAACTGTTTCTAATCTTGGAACACAGCCACTAGTTAATGAACAATCTAAGACAGAATCTCAAGATGAAACAGCTTTCCAGGGGATACTCATAACCTCCATCTCTCTAGTGGATCCTTTGGGTGTAATAAACTTGTCATCTCACGATGGATGTTCCCAGACTAATGATCAACATATGATTAACTTAGTTAATAAAATTAGTTTTTAAAAATGACATTCTAAAGTAAAAATCATTATAGATAATGATTTTGAATTAGAAACTATTGCCTTAATTGATACTGGTGCAGACGTAAACTGTATCTAGGAAGACATTATCCCAACTAAATATTATATATATATATATATTAAGAAACTTCTTTCAACACTTATTAGCATATAATTATACTGTCTATTGAAATAAAACTAAAAAATTGAACAAAAGGTCAAATTATAATAGACACAATATTTTCTAATTTTAATTAAGGTAATTTGGTTGTTTAATAAACTTCGATAGTTCTGTAACTAATAAAAGGTTTAAGTATAATATTTTAAACTTGAGATGTCTAAGTGTTACACTCATACAAACTTCGGAGAGTTTAGCTGTAATTTACACATTAATGACACGGGTCTAAACGTTTCATGTATAAAAATTTTAGGGGTTTGTGTGTAATAGTTAAAATATCAAGAGTTTATGTGTAATATTTCAAATATTAGTGATTTGTGTGTAATATTTTAAATATTAGGGTTTTATATGATTAAATGACAAACCTCAAGGGATTTAAGTATAATTTCTCCCTTTTTTTTTTAAAAATAATTTCTCCCTTTTTTTTTAATGAACAGGAAGTTCATCGAAATTGAAAAGCATTTACGAGCCCCATCATCTTAGAGTTCTATATAACGCCCAGCGAGGCTTGGAGCAATATACACAAACTCTCTTTTCTCTCTCTCTCTCTCTCTCTCTCTCTCAAACTTTGAAGGTTGCTTGTGTCTTTTTGGCGTCAAGGCAAGCACAATGGGTGATTTACTGAATAAAGAACAGATTGTTGAGTTTCAGCAGGCCTTCAGCCTATTTGACAAAGATGGAGATGGTTATTTTTCCTTCTATTTTCTTCTTTCAATGCATAATTATATACACACCCTTGCATGTTTCATAACTCTCTCTCTCTCTGTGATTTTAATCATTCATACGCTTTTGTATTGGAGAAGTATAAATGGGTCTTGCTCATTCATTGTTACTATTCCATTCCTAACTAGTTACAAGCTGATTTTGTAGTTAGAATGCTCTCTCTCTCTCCCCCTCCCTCCCTCTCCATCCCTCTCTCTCTCTGTGTATATACATATGTGTATGTATATATATCTAGCTTCTGATGAAGTGGTTGAATTTATAGGTTGCATTACTGTGGAAGAACTAGCAACGGTGATAAGGTCACTGGATCAAAACCCAACTGAGGAAGAACTTCAAGACATGATTAGTGAAGTTGATGCTGACGGAAATGGGACCATAGATTTTGCAGAGTTCTTGAATCTCATGGCCAAAAAAATGAAGGTAATAGCCCATTATTTCCCTTTTCTTTTTTTTTTTTCCCATACCTCCAATGGATTTGTTTCAAAGAGAAAAAAATTACAGATAGCTCACCCTTTAAGTAGTCTATTTATTTATTAGGCATGAGATTTATTTTCTGTTTTTTAGCTAATGGCTAGCTTTCATTGTTGGATTTATTTGTGTGAATATCCAGGAGACTGATGTTGAGGAAGAGCTCAAAGAAGCTTTCAAAGTTTTTGACAAGGACCAAAATGGGTACATATCAGCTAGTGAGGTGAGCTGGCCTTCATACAACTTTTCTTGATGGCTGAGTACTCATTCAACGTTGGTGTACTATGTCAAAATGAACATATTGTCACTCTTGCATATTGGAATGTTTTTGTGTTTATATTCTTTTAAGTCTCTCTCAGATTGATCTTCGTTAATCGAGAGTGCAGAAACAAAATTGATCGAATACAGACCTATCGTTTATTGTTCTCAAAAATAAAGATTGGCCTATCTTTTGGTTATTAGCTAGGAAGATTTACCATTTTTTTAGGCACCGAGTGTTTCTAGTGCGTTGTAGAAATACATATGCAAACCCATATTTTAAAACAAAAAAATCCTTAATAAAATGTTCAAACAAAAAAAAAAAAAACTCTCCTCGTGGTAGTCGCATTTGTAATATCAAATCAATTGTTGCATAGTAAATTAAGTGTTGTCATGACATTTTAAGCAAGAAGAGGAAGGATTTAGAGCGCTCACACACACACATAAATATTTATTTTTATATTTTTCTCCTACATTGGAATTTACCCAGCTTAGAATTAGAAAATGCACTGAAATTTTTATTTTTCTATTGCAAATCCATAAAATATTCTACAATTTTAAAAATAACTGTATTATTAATCTATGATCCTGTGCAGCTGAGGCACGTGATGATCAATCTTGGTGAAAAATTAACAGACGAAGAGGTCGATCAGATGATTAGGGAGGCTGACTTGGACGGTGATGGTCAAGTTGATTTTGAAGAATTCGTCAAGATGATGTTGACCGCTGGATGAGAGTTTTATGATGAAAGATAGATCATACTTAATGCTATTTAAATTTGTTTATTTTCATATATTAAATGTTGTAGTTGTTTAATTGTTGTTGTAAACAATAAATTTATTTAATATTTTAAAAGTAGGATCACTTGACATAAACAGTGTAGTTTACTCTACTATGTTCCTTGTACTCTTGATTGTATTCTTTCATTTTTACTTTTATTGGAAAAAAACATGGGGAAGACATTTTCTCATGAACAGTTTGGGATTGATTCGAGTTCAAATACCTTTACTTATAAAATGAAACGAGGTTGACTGAATTTTAAAGGCCGTTTAATAAACAAGTTGAGCTCGAACAATGCCTCATTCAACTCATCTAAGCTCGTGAAAAAAAATATAATATTTTTTATGATCGTGTATATATTATAGTTTCTTTTGTACTTTCTATACAATCTGTGAGACATTACTGCAATTTCAATGTTTACAAGTTGTTGTAGTGGTTATGTTAAGGCAACTACAATGGTTTTTATAAGTGGTTGGTGTTTACAATAACATGACACATAAATAGCCAATCATGATACTAAACGAGCCGAACTTAATTTCAAAGACAAGTCTAAAGGTGAATATTGATGATACTAGGAATAAATTCATATGATAAACAAGTTCGCAACATAAACGGATGGATTGATTGATCTAATCTTGGCATCACTGATCTGAACTATTAAGATCCAGGTCAGTCAGATCATGAACCAGCTCAACAATTATCAAATCAACTCAACAGTATCTGCAGGAGGTTAGTTTATACTAAAAAAAGAACAAAAAGGGAATTAAACCATCAAATCTTATCTTGGGCATTAACAATTCATCTCTAAAATGCCGCATCATCAGCTTCTAGCTAAGTCATGTCATACCTAGGGAAAAGTGTCTCTGATGGCCAAATATTCTTTTTAATATCCTAACGAACTATAGGAGATAAATATCCTAGTGTATGAATAGATAGACCCTTGTCTTGTCAAAATAATGTGCAATTGTATTTTCAAAAGAGTATAACCATGTTCTTTCTCAAATAATACAAATCAGAAAAACAATAATCTCAATTGCAGTGGATTAACCTAATACATCAATTTAGTAAACCACTTACTTTCTTTTGTTCGTGCTTATTGTTATTTTGTTTATTATTTAGTCAGTTGAGTTGAATCGAGTCCGAGCCCAATAAAAAGATCATCGAATCGAGTTTTAACTTAGGACAAGATGTTTGAATGAGCCCAAGAAAAAAAAATTACAGAACACGCATTGGGTACAAGAGGACACACTTTTTCTATGGTCAAACTTCTTAGTGAAACTGTGCTGGCCTGGGAATTTTCCTTGATTAGTTTGATCCTCGTGCATGTGACCTTGACTAGTAATCCATAACTTCAACACCGTCCTATCTGAAAAGTACCCAACAGCTCCGATTCTTTTTTTTTTTGGGTTATTTATATGTATAATTACAACATAAACTTTAAATCAACCACTTGTAAATCACATGATTAAATTAGAGTTTGAGTCATAACAACAGGCTCTCTATATAGAAAGTAAGGTTATGTATAAGTGATTCTCTCCATATCTCGCACCGGTGCAAACCTCGTGCAATGAGCTGCCTTGTTTTATGAAATAAGTGTAATTGATATTGTGGTCTGAAATTTCTTGGTTTTTTGGTCCATTACATGACTTAGGAAGGTTGAACTTGCCTTTGGGCATGTGTACTGAGGACTTTGAATGGAAATTTAATAAGTCTTTCTTGTTCTTTCTAGGATCTAGTCTTCTGCTACCCTTTGGACTTTTTTATAATAAAGAACTTGAAGAAGAAGCGGAAAACTATGACCCATTCACACTCCTTTCGGTAGAAAACTGATTGTTTAATTCAAACTTTATGGGCAAGAAATTGGGAACGTTGAATGAATCCACACAACCGCGTTGTACTTTAGGAGTAACCACCCAACATACTTCACCTACTGGTTAAAAAATATATATTTTTTAGTTTAACAGTCAGAGGTGTCTGCATTAATTTACGCACACCTCGATTAATCTCTTCATTAGTCTAGTCAANTAGTTCAACAGTTAGAGGTGTCTGAATTAATTTACGCGCACCTCGATTAATCTCCTCATTAATCTAGTCAAAGCAAATCAGGGATAAATCTCTCGTAGTTTGATCTGAAGAGATTATCAAGAATCAAATTCAGAACTTTGAATTTGTAGTTTGAGATATCCTTGGGGTTAGAATTAGATAAAAAAAATATTTACAGTACTGAGGTGTTGGAATGTCTTCATAAGGTTGTTAAGAAAAGTTTGGTATAAATTCTAAAACTTGCAAAAAGTTCAGATTTTACTATTTCACTATTTTGAGCATTAACTTTTCAAATTGTCGAAGTACATTTAAGTTATTCTTTATTAAAGAGCATATGATTGAGACGATCACGACAAATCATGTGTCAAAATTTGGAATTGCAAAGGAAATATCCTTGGACATGATTTTTTTGCCTTTTGGGCCAAATTTGACATGAAAAATGAAACACTGTTAAAGATGATTTTTTATTTTTTTTGGACCAAAAATAATTTTTCAAAATGGTTATTTAAGTGCAAAAATTAAATTTTTGGTCGACTTTGAGGCTAAATTAAAGTGGGACCCACCCGTTGTTTCGAGTAAACTTTCGTGGATTCATATTCTATTCCGTGAGGAGAATAATGTAATATATTCACTTACTCAAATCGAGTAAGAAATGAATAAGAAAATAGACTCCAAAGTAGCCCTCTTAAAATGTGAAAATAAAAGTTGTGTAATGTGGAATTTGATACTAATCCCACATTGATTAAAGAAGTTCTACATGGACATATATAGGCCAAGTTTGCTCTATGAGATTGGGCCCCAAGGAGTACCACAGTTTTATAAGTAGAGCGAGCGCCTACACGCCACGACCCAAGTTCGGGTGCAGTGTAGACTAATTCCTATATTTTTGAAAAAAATTCGTTTAATTAATTAGATGTGAATTTTTTAACCCGAAATTTAATTTTCGGTATCCGTTGGATTTGAATTCGCACTGGTTAGGATTTGTTGCTTCCCTCCAATCCAAAATTGAGTTGTGTCTTGTGGTTGTACATGACTGTTGAGTTACATCTGTTCAGATAGTGATTGTTCGGATCAATCATCATTCTCTCTATAAAAAACTCAGTCACATAATCATTTTACATTCAATTCATCCAATACATTCTTAGTCATTTAAGGTGTTGGGTTTCTTTTATGGAGTCTAGTTTTATGTGTGATCCGAATGATAACCCGACCCGAAAAATGTTGAGTGATTTTTTTTTAATGAAAATTTTTTGAGACTTAGTCCATAGAGCGGAGGTTTGAGCCCGTTTTGTAGCCCTGTGCGCAAGACATATATAAGTTATTATTCGGTGATTAGAGTTTATTGGATTGAGACTGTTCGGCTGCCGCCCTCTGTATATTCTTTCTTGAGAATAGTGAAATTCCTGCAGTGTCGTGGACGTAGGCAAATTGTCAAACCACGTAAATTCCATGTTGTGTGATTATTTGGATTGCATTCTTATCGTTCTTTCCATTAATTTTACTTTATTGTCATCGTTTGATTTCACAACAATTGGTATTAGAGCCAAGGTTCGGGTCTGAAATAAACAATGGCTGGAGAAGAAGTGAAGACATCTGGGATTGAGCAGTTTGATGGCAAAGATTACGAGTATTGGAGGATGCAGATAGAGGACTACCTCTATGGGAATAAACTTCATCTTCCACTCTTGGGGACAAAACTAGAGAGTATGAAGGATGAAGATTGAAAATTGTTAGACCGACAGGTTCAGGGGGTTATTCGGTTGACCCTTTCAAGATCAGTTGCACACAACGTTACCAAGGAAAAGGCCACTGCAGATCTCATGGCGACTTTGTCAGGTATGTATGAAAAGCTTTCTGTGAATAACAAAGTGCATCTGATGAAAAAGTTATTCAATCTGAGGATGACAGATGGTACGTATGTTACTCAACACTTGAATGAGTTCAATATCATCACCAATCAATTATCATTTGTTGAAATTGAATTTCATGATGAGATTCGGGCTCTGATATTGCTGGCATCACTGCCAAATAGTTGGGAATCCATGAGGATGGCAGTTAGTAATTCTGCTGGTAAGATGAAACTTAAATATGATGATATTCGTGATTTACTTTTGGCTGAGGAGGTGCACAAGAGAGATTCTGGTGAGATCTTAGGATCGAGTTCTACTCTGAATGTTACACTTGTGGGAGGTTATATGCTAGGAACTACTCAAATAGAGGAAGATCAAAATCAAAGAACAGGGGCAAAAGCAAGTCAAGATCTAGACAACAGCAGACAACTTGCTGAAATTGTGGTAAAACTGGCCACATAAAGAAGAACTGTAAAAATATGAAAAAGACGTAAGGTGATGGTGTGAATGCAGTGGCTGAAGAAGTGCAAGATGCACTACTACTTGCCGTTCATAGTCCATTTGATGACTGAATACTGGATTTAGGGACATCTTTTCATACCTTCTTTCACCGAGAAATCATGCGGAATTATGTTGCTGGTAATTTCGAGAAAGTGTACTTAGTTGACGGACAAACACTGAATGTAGTGGGGACAAGAGATGTTGATATTACACTTCCTAATTGGAACGTGTGGACCTTGCAGAAGGTCAGGCACATTCCTGAGTTGAAGAAGAATCTTATCTCTGTGGGACAGCTCGACGACAATGGTCACTCAGTAGTGTTCTCAAATAGCACCTGGAAAGTTTCTAAAGGAGCACTGGTGCTGGCCTGGGGTAACAAGACTGACACTTTGTACATGACAAACGGTTCTAGCGATACTATTGCCACCACCACTGTAGAGAGTACTGCAGAGCTATGGCATTGCAGACTTGGTCATATGAGTCAGAAAGGCATGAAGGAACTCATGTCAAAAGACAAGCTACTAGAACTAAAAGCAGTTGATTTGGACATATGTGAGAGTTGTATACTT